CATCCTCAAACATTTAATTATTTTTCATGACCAGTTATTAAAATGTTTTAAGACGTTTTTAAAAATTTATCACAAAAATAAAAGTTTTTGACTTGTTCTTAAAACGTTTGTATAAAATTGACATCACACAAACGTTTTGAAAATAATTTTAAAATGTTGTGACAAAATGCCCTGTTGTCTCGTGAAATGGCTATTACGTCATATTTTGCACCCGCCATCATCAGTTCAAGTTTATTCTACATGCAAGTGAGATTGTGCAGCAAGAGCTGGATCGTCGAACTCTGATTTCTTAGGGGGTAAGCTCATTTTCAAAAGCAGTATCCGCTTGTATAAGCAGTATCTAAATGGCATTGTGTAAATATAACATTTGTTGCATATGACCACTTTCTAAATGGCATTGTTTATTCATAGCTTTGGCGTGGGAGCCGTGCCAATTTACACTTGTCAGAGGGGTACACAGAGTACGTGATCTCGGGTGCTTTGCAAGGCGCGAATCGCTTGCAACCGATTCGCCTCGCAGCAATGTGCCCACTCTCAGCCGCTTGCAAACGAAACAATCGCTGGCTGAGGTCGCTTCGTAAAATTTACTTGAACAATCATCAAATTCACATCAACAATGAATGACTTTTACCCCTGTTGAATGCAGAGCGTAACGTGTATTTATAGCATATTCCAGATGTCAGTTTGTGGCATATTATACTGTGTAGAAGTACAGAGGGACAGTGTTGTACTTATGTTACCGAATACAACCAGGTGTTTCTCACGGCCTCGAGATGTTAACGTCACGGCTTGTTTGATCCCAAATTCTTTTCAAACATGATCTGTCGTTGCAATCCATTGTTAGTAATAGTCCCATTATTAAATGCATAAAGGCCCTGATGTAAACAACTGTGAAAATTTATGTAGCTGCGCATGGACTTGCACACCACTTGATATTTGAATATTGTACAGAACATGTTTAATGTCTTACCAACTGCACCTGTCACCCACACCCACAACAGCTAAAGATTGATGTGATTAAAGGAGATAATGTGACCATACGACGACCCGTAACTCGTTATTAAATTCATATCATCAATGAAGACCTTCAAACACCCCCAAATGACGTTTGCAAGCGGGCACTTCTGTATTCACAGCCCATGTCAGCTTGTATGTGTTCTTGTCCTTTGTAAGCGTGTATATATAACAGCCAATTTGTAAAATGTGATTCTCCCAGGCCATTTATAAAATGTCTAAATATTTCAGTCATTTTGTCTGAAAATCTGTCCATTTATTAAATTATATAGACGGTCAAAGGGGCTTTAGAACAAAGCAATTAATTAATTGTGCAATGATTAGAAGCCAAACAATATAGAAATGTACTTTTAATCCTAACATTTTCAGTCCCTTGAAGCATAACAAAATGTTCGGAATTCGTTATCATAACAATACAGATTGACATAGTCCACAGTCAATTTGTGTAATAAAGGAATATAATAAATTTCCTAAGTGAAAAACTTGCACATTTTGACTGTAAAAATATAAACACGATAAAATAATCAATGCTCAGGTGAAATATTTACTTTGTTTTGCAATTCAAAATAGTGTAAAGGAAAATCGCACAATTTCCAAGCATGCGATTTATCAAAACTTTGTCCCAATTACCGATGCTATCCAGAAAGATGCATACATGTCCTTGTTATTGGGAAAACAATTTCGAAAATAATCAGGTAACTTGATTTTGTTTAGCTTTTAAACTATTACACATTTTGGTATGAAACAATGCAAAGTACATATGTAACGATACAATGGTAATATAGAAGAGTTAAGGACAATTTGTCTTCAATTTGGACACGTGTAAGACTTGATCCAAACTGAATTTCTTAATTAGGAAAGAAATGAAGGAAATAAAGCGAGATGATAACATGTATCCTTTAAGTAACTAATCCTTACACGTCATTTGCCTGTTTTACCTTTAACAGTGACATTTTATAATCTATTCGTACATTCATCTTTGTAATATTGCGTAGTTCCACAGTAAATCTATATTTAAAACCACCACATAAAGTATTTATACAAGATGGTGTCAGTGAACAATCACTGCTACATAACCATCTGGCAGACATATTCTTGTGGGATGAATTGAATAACGTTTTCGGTACCCGTAATTCAACGTTAAATTACAAAGAAAATAAAAAAAATAAACTGATAACAAAATAATACCAATTTACATTTATATAATATAGTGACTGAACAGACGCGTTCAAGTGTTAATTAGTTGCTGATAATGTGAGGAAATTTGGAAATGGCAGGCACCATAAACAGGTAGATTCCCATAACTTCCTTGTCAGTTACTCAGGCTGAATTAAGAAACGTTGTTTTCTCTGGCCCCTTGTTTAGTGTAATATAGTATAGTCTTGCCCTGAACTAGTATAGTTAAAGCACGGCACGCTTTCCGGGCAGAGCTGTCATGTAGACATAGCCGAAGCCGGTGTCACTGGTTAATGTGCTTTGAAGTTTGTTACCGTAACCGTGAATCGTGATATGGCATCGCCGTGGGACGAACATAGTAGAGGAAGAGCAACTTTTCAAGGAATCGTCATTCCTTTGTCCCACGACACATACATAGTTCCTCGGGCACCATAAACGCCGCCTTAAACAATTGTGTGACTGCTGTTTTACGGACACAGTATTGGAATACATGTTTGGGATAAGCATGGTGTGGGCGAGATGGTTGACATAATCTTTCCATACTTCCTCCCAGGTAATAATATTCAACGTTAAACTTCATGTTTAAAGAACCTGTTTCGACAAATATAGACGTGGATGCGCCATCTTGCATCACAGTACAGTACACTACGTTTTTAACGAACACGTTTATAACGAACTTACGGATATCACAAACATATTTTTTGCTCCCGGTCATTTGCTGTATATATGCTGTATATATGCTTATGACGCACTACGGTTCTAACGAACTAAAATTAGCGATCACTTTGAGTTCATTATAATCGTACTTTACTGTACTACAGAAAGATCTATGCCTTTGATCCTTAAAATATAGATTAAACAACGGGATTGATAATCTTGATAACCGCAATAAAGAAACACACCTACCTGTTTGGTCTTTCGTTTGGTTCGTGCCCAACTAGAAATGAGAAAGCATACCTGTTTCAAAACATAGCTGTTCCAACATTATTTTCAGTCAACACAAATTACAAGCATTCGATATTTGTGCACAAAATGACAGACGTTGTGTATTAATGTATATAACACATGTCGTTGATGCTCTTAAGTTAAATCACAGATGCACGTACGTTTTTCAGCATGCAGACTCCTCCTCAGGTGTATAATGACGACGATGAGGATGATAATGACCACAATACCAACAAATCCAGTAACAATGGCAGTCAGGTGATTCTTCTTTTCCGTGTCATCACTCCCTATCAACGACAAAACTTGCAATGTAACAAAAAGTTTATCAAAGTGAAGATTATATATATATATATATGCTTTCCAGATAAACGAATGTATGTTAGACTTTCATGTTGATCAGACATTAATCTATGTAATTCGTCTTCTACACCAACACAAACACGGTATTATTGTTTGGTATGTCTAAGGTCTACTAGACACTGCTCCACCGATGCCACATTGTATGTTATAGTGTCAGTCATGACATCATCCAGAATGTAGTTAAGAAAACGTACAACTCTGTGGATAACAACTTCTGGTTTACAGCATATAGCCACATGTTGATGTAGAACCTTACACCGTTATCAAGCTGGAGTGACAACTACCAGGTGATAGGGGCACATGTCCATGACATGTGACAGGCGGAAGATAAGCAACAGGTAATAGATAACAAGTAGCATACAGATTAATTGGATAAAGCCGAATGTACAGTAAGAATAATAAGTAGTAAACACGTAATGAAGCACACGGGTAAAAAATCAGGTGTACAGTTAGGATAAGGGTTAAAAAGATTAAACAGTTATGACAAGCTGAGTGGGTCATAATTAAAGTCAGAAATTGTTATCCATGAAGTTGTACGCTTTCTTACGTACTCAACAATTTCTAGAATGCCAATCAAACAGTGACCCAGAAGGTATGTTGAACAACATGTACAGCTATGATAATTCCAGTTTGCAAACACGATCATATCTGTCTAATGTATATTTTGTATGGTCAACATAACCTCATATATACATCATACCTATTACAATGGAACTGCAATACGAATGACAACCGTCAACCTGTAGGCTGTTAACTTAATCGACGGACGGCCATTTCCACAACAGAACTGAAAGCCATCAATATCTATTTCACTAAAAGTCGTATTCTTATGTATACTTAACGTTTCCATATATATATATATATATATATATATATATATATATATATTGTCTGCATATTGATTCAAATTGTCACTTCTAGTATAAGTTTTTTTTTATGATAACCACCAGATGTGAACCTTTTCACTCACTCACAAACTTCTCACCTTCATTTTAGACTTAGGAGTACCCTTTGCTCTTGTTTACAGGAAAACTATTGCTAAAAAACTGGATTTGTCACAATACAAGAAAATGCAAGGTTATATTCAACACATCTTACCTTGCATCCTTTCTTTATATTGTAGCTTTATTTCTATAGGTACTGCAAATATCAAATGTCTGTAAATCGGTCGCACTGATAGATGTGGCTATCCTACTACTAAGTAAAACACAAAATATCATGTACAGACGATGACTTTTATCATTATAAATTCCCTGTTCCCTGCCCAGTTTGCAGCGCAGGACATATTCCCGGCATCAGACGTGATAAATCATGCTTTTTAAACACTTGTCTAAAACTAATATTGTCGTTAGGCCACGTGACAGATTGGGGTGATGCAAGACACAAACAGCAGTTACGGACCCATCTCTAGGATGGGCTCCCACAGTTTGTAGCAGGGTGTAAGAAAGTCCTTCAAGACAACAGAAAGATACTTATAATAGGTTAATGATGTAACTCACATCGAACGTTAACATGTGCAACTGCTTGTCCGGGTGTCATCATGTGTCCATTATCAGCAGTACAGGTCAGTTTCCCTCCGTCGGAATGGATTATGTTACGTTTGAGGAATGTCGACCCATTACTTGTTTGTCCGTTGTGAGACCACCGGAATGTGTGGACACTAGGGTTGGCATCATCTACCACACAGACTACAAGGAGGTCATCACCGACAGTGACACCCAAGGTGTCATTGCTTGGTTCTAGATGTACCACTGGCGGATCTGGGGATATGAATGATCAATCCACAGATTAGTGACATAATTCCACTCACGACTACCGATGTACATACAGACAGGACAGGTTAAGGAGTCGACCACACACACGACACTGATCACTTGACCAAGGAGAACGTTAAGGACACTTCCTGTAGGCTCCAGGTGGATTTGCAGGGTGGCTGAAAGATGTTACCACGTATACAATATGCAAACAATCTGAATATGTATCCACTTATTTATTCGAATACATCATGCATTTTCTAGTCAATATAGCTTTCATATCGAATCCCATTACTTTCATTTACATATCGATTAAATATTTCTCAAGATAAAAATTTCTCCATGTATATTGTTCACCTACAACTCAATGGAATACCACCTCACATCACTTATGTGTCAAACCGATATCCATGACATGTCACGCATACATCACTACTGGGTTAAACCTTCAACAAAACACCACCTCACATCACCTAATGTTTTAAAACCATCTTAACGACGCATCACGCCAATATCAATAGTGTATGGAAATCAACCTCCACCTCCGTGAAATACCTCCCCCCAGCCCCATAAGTAAAACATTCAATATCATGTACATACATGCACCCTCGATGACTGTTATCATTATCACTTATGTTCCCTGCCCAGTGTGCAGAGCAGGACATATTCCCGGCATTAGACGTGATAAATCATGCTTTATAAACGCTAACATTGTAGTTATAGAAAATCATGTGTAGAAGTCGATAGAGTGGTTGGGGTCGTGCACAACACAAACAGCAGTTAAGGTTCCACCATGTTTGCCAATAAAGACCTCGAGGATGGACTCCCATGGCTTGTAGCAGGGTGGAAGAAAGCCTCTCATTATTACAGAAAGAAACTAATAATAGGTTAATAATGCAACTCACATAGAACGTTAACATGTGCATCTGCTCGTCCGGGTGCAGTCATGTGTCCATTATCAGCAGTACAGGTCAGTGTCCCTCGGTCAGAACGGGCTATGTTACGTGTGAGGAATGTCGACCCTGTACTTGTTTGTCCATTGTGAGACCACCGGAATGTGTGGACACTAGGGTTGGCATCATCTACCCCCAGTCTACATGCAGGTCTTCACCGACAATGACATCAATGGTGTCATTGCTTGGTTCCAGATGTATCACTGGCCGATCTGGGGATATCAATGATCAATCCACAGATTAGTGATATAATTCCATGCTATGACATATACAAGAGTGTTTATTTTCATGAGGATAAAAAAATGACATGCACAAATTCTCCACTACCGTACCTCACGACTACCGATGTACATACAGGTGTACGCTCCCGCATTCAATAAAGAATCTGCTTAATGTCCATACATTATTCTTCTACTGAAGAGAAAACACGAAATTCACATGACGCTATGTTAGGTTTTTCACAGAAATATGCTTTCATAACTAATAAAATCAGCTACGAAAGGATTTCATTTGAATTGGCATACATTGCAACCCTCTTTATTCCCTTTGCGTAGATTCAAAATCGTAAATGACTTACACAGGACGCTGATTTGTGTAGAGGCGAGCATATTCCCTGCACTGCATTCTAAAGTGCCAGAGTCAGACTTGGATGTTACTGTTTTACTGAAGGTTTGTCCACTGTAGGAACTTCCGTTATGTGTCCATCTGAACGAAGTGACCGGAGAGTTTAAGGAGTCGACCACACACACGACACTGATCACTTGACCAAGGATAACGTTAAGGACACTTCCTGATGGCTCCAGGTGGATTTGCAGGGTGGCTGAAAGATGTTACCACGTATACAATATGCAAACAATCTAACAATGTATACTTATTTATTTATAACTTACTTATCAAATACATCATGTGCATTTTGTCAGTTTAGATATTTCTCAGGAAGAAAATTCTATAATGTATATTTATCACCTCCAACTCAATGAAATACCACCCTCACTTTCCACATCTCTAATGTGTCCAACCCACCTCCACGACACCCCGTCCAATGTCACTACTGTGTAAACATTCTTCCACAAAATACCACCCCACATCTGTAACGTGTCGAACCCACCTCCACGGCACCCCGTCCAACGTCACTACTGTGTAATTCTTCTTCCACAAAATACCACCCAACATCTCTAATGTGTCCAACCTACCTCCAAAACACCCCGTCCAACGTCACTACTGTGTAAACCTTCTTCCACAAAATACCACCCCACATCTGTAATGTGTCGAACCCACCTCCACGGCACCCCGTCCAACGTCACTACTGTGTAATCCTTCTTCCACAAAATACCACCCAACATCTCTATTGTGTCAAACCCAGCTCCACGACATACTGTCATCCCACATCACTACTTTATCGAACCTACCTCCACTACATACCACGCCAACATCACTGCTGTGAGAACAACTCGCTGTTCCCCAACCAGAGTGGGAACACTCGTCTAGGGAGGTCTCCGTCCCCGTACAGTTGACGTTACTCAGCCAAACAAGCCCTTCACCTGGCCCGTAAGAGTTTGTCACATTGGCGCTTGTCCTGTAAAAGAATTCTACATTTTGCATGAATCCTATACTTATTTGAACAGTGATTGTAGTTTTAAGATTTATTTTGACTACACTTCTCATGCGACATTAGTGTAGAACGTCTAACTTAAGAGTGGGCATAAATGTAAGCTTGTGCATATGAGCTTATGAACATGACATTAACAATATAAACGACGACAAGACATAGAACACTTGAAAGAGCTATTATATTTCTGTGAATCAGACGGTTAGCAAGTTTGGTTTCTATTTAATGCCTGGTAAAGTTTCAAAAGCAGAACTTTTTATGTTCCTAAAATGGCAAGGTAAGCCTTCCCCCTAAGAGATGTCAAAAGACCAACTTACCACGGCAAATTTACCATTTTGCACACTACTTGTGCCTCCTGTGTCGAAAAAGATGACCCACTACAAACTGTTCCCCAGACATTGTAGTGTATTTCTTCCACTCGACCACGTCCAGGAATTGTCGAATTCAAGCGTATTTGAGAATATGCTTGAACAAATGATATACCAAGCATTACAAAAATATCATACAACATAACCTTTATTAATTGTGCTACAAATTTAGACTTACTAGAGGAACATATTGGAACAACTGTTGAGAAACAGTTAACATTATTCCCTGTCTTTGAGTGATAATTTACACTCGGCCCAATAGCAGCTAGCACTCACCATGTAAAGACGTCACAGCTTTCACGAAACATTGTGATAATGTGGAATGAACGTCACAACCCTGGGAAAACACCCTCATCACCTTGTTATGACGTTTTTTGTAAATAATAATTGCCAAATATTGCTATACTTTAATCATATTGGAACCTACGAGAGGGACAACGTATTCCAGCTACAGTCGAACAGTCTACTTCCTCCCAAGGATAATGCAGATATTCATTGAAGGATAGTTCTGTGCCAAGACATTGAACCTTGTCTAAGATAACTGGAGGTGTTGATGTCTTTGTGTGGCTGGTGGAGCTGGCCCCAATACTGAATATTAGAATTTAAAATATTAGATAGGCAATAAACAAAATGTATATACATGCAAATATACACTTCGTTCCTGAAAATGGAATTGTTTGCAGTATATTTGAGTTTCGAATCTCATTTCTCTTATCGTAAATTGGAAAATCAAAAGCACGTCATACATTTGAGGACAAAAAAAATAATGGATCTAGCAATGCCTCGTTAACAATAAGTACATGTATTTCACATGTCAGGGGACACGCATGTTTGTCTCTTTAAAATACAACCGATGTAATAAGTATACAAATAGGTGAATGATAATAGGTGTTGGAACAAATATGAGGGAATACCAAAATGTTCAGTGCCTCACATAAATACGGCGACAGAATCATATCCATAAGCAGAAATTTCTTCCAAAACGATTCCGACTACGTCATATGCTACTGTTTATGACTCAAGGATTTACAAAGACATGTTAGTTAAGATTACTATATTTTTCAGCTGTAATCACCAACCATATCTTGTTTAATATTACGGTCTTGATTGAACCATTACAAAATTAGATAAGTGGATGAAGAATTTCCACGAAAATTACACATTTGTATGCCTAGATAATGTAAAATATGTGCTCATTATTTAGATTGGTGTCAACTGATGTGTGAGTGATGTCTGAAACGAGAGACGCATGTATGCATTGTCCACGTCCAAGGATTGTTATGTGGAACATTCCAACCAGTATCTGCCATGAAGGATGTTAAAAACAGACATACCAAATTATAGGAGATACGAGAGAAGAGACTATTTCAACCCGAGACTGGGTTCATCAAATGACAAAGACATCTGAACTTATAAAAGATGCTACAACAGAATACCATGCACACCACAGAGAATGTTATCAACGATTCACGATGAATCTCAATCAAACCTCTCTCCACACACTTGACCATCAAGTTCCAAGCCAAGCAGGTAAGGTTCGGGAGACCTTTTATTGTTTACCCATGACTGCATATTCTGCAATTCCGAAGGGAGGAAGAAACCCAGTATCAAGGGAACATGTACCACCGAGGGACAGAACAGTGTCAATATGATCGATGGAGAGCCGTACTCGAATCGGCCGGGAAAAGAGATGACGAAAAACTTCTCACAAGGATTCGAGGGCGAAACTTGTTGGCCTGTGAAGCAAAGTACCACGAGCCGTGTACAGTATACAGTACACACAGTACACACCAAATACTTGACAAATCGAGAAAAATGAAACTCATAGAGGCCTATAATATAGCATTTGATACTGTGAGTAAAGTGATCGACATGGATATTACACACCAGATGAAGATGATGAAACTGACTGATCTCTGTAAGATATTTATTGATAGCTTGCTACTAACAGAGTTTCCAAATCCAAACTTTCACCGTAAGAACCTCAAAGGAAAACTTGAGAAACACTACACATACAAGGACATACTGTCTTTCTGTATGTCGAACAGCACTGGAACCTTTCAAACCTACAGGAAACATATACTCAATTGTCAACACGTATAGTTCGGTCACCAGATGTGTTGTCAGTGTTACATTCTGAATTTGATAAATTTGATCAATTGCTGAACAACCTAACTGGAATTGGTTCATTGCATACTGACCATGGTATAATGCTACAGGATACAGAAGGCAAGCCAGAAGACCACAGTTGTACCCTTGTAAAAATCCCATCAATTCCGAAGGAGGATAATACTACCAAACACCGTTCGTTGTACCTTAATCCAGCCGAACATCTGCCATATTGCTATATAACCCAGAGTAGGAGTCCACAGATAGTGACCACGCAGCTGACATATCCTGATGGTGAAGATTCCTACCATGACGCAGACATGTGACCCATATTGTGGGTGCTGATATAGATGAAGAGTTGTTTAAATCAGGAAGTCCCTGGGTGGACAGGGTTCATAACTGTGCCTGGTAAAGCTCCTGATCTATCACGTTATTGTCAGTCCAATCAACGATTATAGGACGGTACACATCCATAGTTGACAGTAAAGATCAGTCGCTCTCATCGGGACAAGCGGCATCAGAACATGAGAAAATAGAGAAGACATGCAAAGAATGCCTACATTGAAATCCATTTGGAAAGAGGAAACTATGTTTTGAGTCAGTGAAACGTTTGAATCTCAAAACTTTGTGAGACATGAACAAGAAAGCCAGGGCCCCAACCATTGCAAAGTAGTCCAAACAACAAGGGGACGTCGTTTTTTAGTTGTCTATCACATCCCAAGGTCAAGAAATATATCTGGATCTGAAGGAACTGCTAAATGACCTTTCGCTCCTGTCCTTTGCAGTAACGGACTGCAGACGTTTTCCCAGCAAAGTCAGACCAGTCAAAGGCCTTCCACTACCCGACCAAGGATCTCAAGGATGCGGAGGTCCTTCCTGCCCACGTATTTCTTGTGATCCATGATGGCAATAACCTGTTTTTACTACTTGATAGACATTCCCAGCAACTTCAACCACATTAGCAAAAAAGTGTTTCATGCAATGTCGAAAACCGGCGATGTTGTGTTCAGTACAGACAACTATGTTATTAATTCTGTCAAAGCCATCGAAAGACAAAGTAGGGGATGTGGGAGTAACTTCATTGTCAAGGACATGAGAACATGAATAATCGTACTGACGGGAAACAGTTCCTATCTAATGATATGAACAAGCTCATCATTCTTCTTACTGGACTCTTGAGCCAAGATACTTGTGACAACAAACTCGAAGGTAGACAAGTGACAGCCCTATGTGAGACCTTGCATACCAACTCACCTCTGGTGATGGGTCTAAGAACAGGGAATACAGAAATACCAATCCTCAAATCGTTCCAGGAGGAGACAGATTCCTTCTATTCTTGTAAATACGCCAGGAACCAGAACTACAAGTGTGTCAGAGTAAAGAGCCCAGATACTGATATTTTGTTCATCCTTCTCCATTATGCACACAAGATGGAGAAAAAGAATATTTCGAACCGGGTCTGTAAATTTACAAGGTTGATTTATGTCGGGGTACTGGCCTGTCCAAGACTGTACCACATTGATACTATGAGTGCCTTCAAGGGACATGTGGGGCGGTCGGGTTGCCTAGTGGATAAAGCATTTGCGTGAAGCCCATTTCTGGTGTCCCCCTCCATGATATTGCTGGAATATTGCTGGAATATTGCTTAAAGCGGCGTGAAACGATACTCACACACGCAAGGGACATGGGAAGGTAAAACCACTGAAAATCCTGTCACCTGTTGCAAGATCGGGTAAGACATGGCATGTACCCATCAACCTCATGACTTGACATGTGCTTTGTATGGGAGACCTCATAGGAGTGTTAATTATCTACATCTACGAGTTTCCCATCAACCATCATCCATATAGACCACCCCTGTGAGCTGGAGTATCGGGATTAGCAATGTGTGTCTCTTCCAAATGTCAACCTGATAATTGACTCTCCTGATGTGCTCCTCAAGACTCGAGATAAGATATACCTATATACATATTTACGTGAACAATAGATGATATTGTGGTTTTAATGAAAACCTTTACTACAATATGTACTGTGAACCTTACTTATATCTCTACCTGTGTGGCTCTTATTCATCATTAGATTTACATTTCATTCGTTTGACACAAATTTAATGCCAGAGATTCTGCTTCCCGAACAAAAAATATTCTAACTGAAAAGAAAGTTATGATATCGCAGCTGGTAGTTTAAATTCCGATTACTTAAATAATTCAGCCGATATTATCTTCATTGTTGTGGTAAAATAAAGTTTAATGCCTGTTGCCTGTACCTTTTTGTGTGATTATCACCCATGTATATTTGCATAAAATAAAAAGTATTGAAAACTTTAGTGATCCATTTGGAGGGAATAATCTAAAAGTTAATGACTATGTTTACAATATGTAAATGGCATCACTGCAACCAGAATAACTTCAAATTTCTTTTGATAATACACAAGAATCATCTGAAGCCTTCCATTGAAATCGTGACACTAGGGTACCTCCACACGTATGATCAAACCGGGTCCCTATATTTTCAATGATAACATTCGATTTCATGTTCAGGACCAAAGTAGCCTACTGCCTGAGCCTACCAAGAGACGAACTTTACGATTTTTCCTCGTATAATAACCTTCAAACATTTTTCACGTTACACATACGTCTTCTCCAGATACAGTACAATATGTGATGTGGAAGTTAGTCATATTAATTACGTGTTGTGTCCCAACAATCTGCAGGCAACCATTGCCTCTTCCACTCCGAACCCTGTAGAACAGACTCGACCCCATTGGCCTTTATAGTACAGCTCCAGCACTCCCTCCCCGTCGTGTTGGTGGTGGATACAAGTCTTGCCGCTGTAGATTCTGCGAAGACATCATACAAAACCTTCCACAATATCTGACTTACCTATCTTTGTTTTGAATTACGCACAATGTTCATTATTATTAAGTAAGTGACACATAGAACAAAATACAGTATTTAATGACAAGATAAGGTAAAAGCGGGACTGCGCTCCATTGTCCGGTGTCCATTTCCAGCCTAGCTCTAGACCGTAACTGCTGAAGTGTTTGACATTGTGTCTGTTTAAAAATTGCCATCATTAACTCTAGTTTAAAGAAAACTCACGTCTTCCTATGAACGGGAGATTGGTTGATAAAGGCAAACAGCCTACATCATCACGATATTAAGTCCAGTTACATGAAGTATAAAGCGATAACAATCTACTAGGGATGCAACGTCAGACCTCTGGAGAAAAGGGTTGCACACATACCTGAAGTAAATGAAAAACATTCGACACCAACAGCTTCAGAGCTGCTACAATTATCACTCCCCCATTGTCCGTGCTTGCAGTCCTTCAGATCTGTATTCAGCATCGTGCACTGCACGTCATCCAACAATATTGGTAAGGTTCTGCTTGTAACGAAAACCTTCCCAGCTCTGTAAATGAAGCATCACAAGAAGTCTTGTGTATTACAGAAATAAATGTTAATATTAATACAGGTGTAGTGCGCTGATTAATTTTATAATATACTGAACCGCAAAAGAAACGTCACCATTGATAGATATGTGAGAAATCTTATTTGTCCAAACACTGTAAAACTGCTTTGAGACATTAAATAGATGAAACTTGACAAAACTGATCGTCAAGGTTCAAAAACACTAGTCTCTTAGAAAATGGCATCACAAGTCAGTATCACGTGTGTCCGCTATGTGCATTAATGACTGCCCTGCAACGTCGATACATTGAATGGATGAGGCGGTTGATGAAGGCCATATGCACTTGAGCCAACACTCTGATGAACGCCTGAGGCAGTTCAGATGCAGTTGTCGGCCTTGGTCGGACGTCATTCAGCTGTCTTTGAATCCCGTACAACAACTGCTCAATGGGATTTAAATCGGGACTGAGGGCAGGCCACTGCATGGTTCTGATACGTTTTGCTGGACGAAGTCTCTTGTTGCTCTCGCAGTTTGGACACGGGCGTTATGCTGAAACTTGTGGCTGCGGCGACGTGCCAAATGAAGTATGGTGTGTAGTCTCAAGACTTGATCAATGCATATGTACCAAGCTGCTGTGACACCATTGCCTTTGCCTCGATCGATGTTCTGGAAGGCCACAGGGCCGACCCTCTGTGCAAGGCCAATTCCACCCGACACCATGATGCTCAGACCACTCGACGAGTCTCTTACAACAACACGAGCATCCGAAAAAACGTTACCCACGGCGTTGCCAGACTCTCTCTCTCTGCCATCTGCTGTTGAGATACAATAACGGCTCTCGTCTGAGAAGAGGACTCTTCTCAACCGCTGGTGGCGCCAATGCTGGTGCTGTGTTGCCCACTGAAGACGGTCCCGGCGATGACATGGTGTCAGAATGGGTCCTCGGTGTGGCCTGTGACAGTGGATGTGTCTGCTCATCAATCGTCGACGCACAGTGTCCACACTTATGTGTCTCTGGTGTGTCCCCATGGTCTGTCGAGCAGTCTCCGCAGCAGTAACAAAGCGATCTTAAAGATGCTGTCGCACAATCTGATGATCCTGACGTCGGGTGGTGATCCTTGGCCTTCCACTACGTGGTCGGTCATCTGTAATGTTGGTTGAGCCTGTATATGGTCCTAACGTGGACTACTTGCTGGGCGGTTTGTCCAGCTTGCAATCGTCCAAGGGGTTGGTGTCGCTGATTTCTTGTCAATCTTGGCATGTGGTAGCAATTCCATTACGAATGAATGATATCCGAACTGGGTGGATTTTTATAGGTCAGGAAATGGGTGAACATATGCATTTCAATTTGCACGGAACTCACGTGCATCGGGTTACCATGGCCGTTGTCGTCAATCGTTTGGGCGATTGGTTATATTGTCATCTGCTTTCTTATTTTATCATCAAATTTCATTTTTCAGGACAAAGTAATGTAAAATTTGAGAAACTTGGACAAAAATTACCAAGACATTTAAATGACAACTTTTCATGCAATTTAACTTTGGGTGACGTTTCTTTTGCAGTTCAGTTTATTTGAAAAATCTCCTCCATATGAACATGCTCTCCAGAGGGCAAAGGAATGCGAATGTAAATATTTATATTTTACTTTAACTATCATTTGTGTGTGTGTGTGTGTGTGTGTGTGTGTATGTGTGTTAGTGTCTGTGTGTGTCTGTGTGTGTGTGTCCGAGTGTGAGTGTGTGTGTGTGTCTGTGTCTGTGTCTGTCTGTCTGTCTGTCTGTCTGTCTGTCTGTCTGTCTGTATATGTGCCTGTTGAAACTCTTGACCGATAACTTACTGGTATCCCAGACGCCTGCATACAACTGAAGCTTCTACTTGGCCGAAATTGTCATCACACACCGTGCCCCATGTACCGTTGTTGTACACCTGTAGAAGTCCTCTTTGGTGGTATCGTGTCAGCTTTATCGTCATCTCATCTACACAGGGTGTAATATTCACATCGTGAGCATCGATCGATCCACGCAATTGGGATCAATGACATGCATCAACCAAGTCAGCGAGCCTGACCACCCCTGCCCGTTAGTCGTCTCTTACGACAAGCAAAGTTGCCTGTTACGGCAAGCATAGGCTCTACCCCGGAATCTTCACGGGTCCTGAACGATGTTAATGGAATGTGTAGGCAACTCAGTGTAATCAAGGAATCGTCGTCTGATATATTTATCCACAAAATGATGTTTGTGTGGGTAGACAAGTAAAGTTTTGTTTGAAAGGCATTCTGGGGAAGCCACTCGCCAAGCTTCATTCCAACTCAGCAATTTCTAATGATTAAGTCAAAAGATCAATAGTATTTAACAGTGTCACCATTATTCGGTTTACCTTCTCACTGCATCTGAACCATGTACACTCATTAAGCATTACCTAAGTACAATGAATGGCATCACCGGATAAGAACGAAAAACCTATTATTTTATGATTCAATAAGAGCAACAAAACCTTTCACCTAGCCACAAGAAATCTCTGCTGAAAGTCCAGTTGATGTACGATATAATGAGCATGTCTTTATAAATGACTATCAGATTTTGATGCTTACAGGTCGAACACCTTCTGTCATCAAAATCTGATTGTGATTTATAAACACAAAGGTGAGTGTATGCTGCCCCACTGGTGGGAACTGTCACAAATACATGCAAAGGCAAGTCAATTGTTCACCTGAAAAGACAGGGGAAATATGGTACAAGTCAACATAGCTTATTCCATTATAATTGTAATTGAGGCGCCCTCCACCAGCCCACCATAAACTGTTCTAAAAGCTCGAATAAAGCCTTGGATCTTATAACTTTGATCAAGCAGCATTTGAGAAAGAGTCATATGACGCTTTTTGAAATGTTCTAGAGGGGAGCTCTATTGTAACGTTTTTAAACAATGAGTGTAGATAAGGCAGCTCTGAATGACTACACATTGAACAATTAACTATATAGAAGCTTTAATGTATTCATGTAACTCAAAAGTTGTGAAATGTAACGCATGTGTCCATATTAGTATATGAAGCAAACTTTTGAACCAAAGATTGCAAATTTTGGCACGTTATTTTTGAATGACTACACATTAGACATTGAAACTTGTATGTATTCATGCCAACTCACTTTCATCACAAATGATACCAACATCTTCATGGTGTTTACAGTTACTGGATCCCCAGCCAACGTGTGGACAATCACTCAGGGACGATTCATTTCCAGTGCAGTCTAGGTCATCAAGCCAGATTGTCCCACTTCCAAATCCAAACTCGTCAATATACGTCGGTGTCATTCCAGGTTCACTGTCAATAGAAACGGAAGATTTTGCCGAATGTGTTATACATTTCTAAGTCATATCATATTAGCTATATTGACTCTATTAACTTTGCCATCACTATCACGTACAACAGATTGAAACCACTGCATAAACTAAAATTGACTTGTCTCCTTTCTGACAATTGTTTTCATTATGCTACATGTATTCAGGGACAAGTTATACAGCAAAGCATATGGTTGAGAATACTGTTTACTGTACGTGAAGAAAGTTAGTGACAGTTCCGACCAAATAGAACGCACGTATATTATGTAACTGTTTTTGTGTTTGCGCCAAACACAACAGAGAGTACCATCCCTTTCTTGCCCATAATATAGTCGGAATTGTACAATCGACTTTGCTTTTCAAAGATTTCTATTGCATATGGAAAGGGTTTTGACGTTCTATTGTTATTACTAACTGATTCGGTTTGACTAAAAAGGATATGTCAACACATGTCATGCTTGATTTACAGATACTTGTGTGGAAGATTACTCGAACATTCAAAATACAATTATTTTTAAACAAGAATTTAACTCTCCTGTAAAACTGTACATGGAACATTTGAAAAGAATATTAATGAAGACCGTACTTTGTTAAGGTAGAAATAAATTGATAGTATCACAACACAACATGCAAACCTTACATCAAGCACACAACCAAGTTTACACAGCAAAAGGAAAAAACAACATCTTTGCAGATCGATGGTAAAAGTCTTACTATTGCCCCAGCTGTCTACAGGCCACCATAGCGTCACCTTGTACAAAGTCATCATCACAAACTGTTCCCCACGAACCGTTATAGTACACCTCAAGTCTGCCAACACCGTTATTCAGCGGCGATACCAGTCGGATAGTTTGACCAACAGCTACGAAAATAAAAATAAGACATGAATCATAAGCACTTTAATAAGGTGCGAAGAGTATTTCATCAATACTAACAGTTATTGATTACCCATATGTATGTCGTAAGTGACAGTGTAAATTAGTTCCATTATATTTTTATTTCTTTGTAGAAAATCACATTGTACCGTTATTTCTCCCGTCTATGTTTCAGAAGAAAACCTAAACGTCATGTAACATAGTCATTAGATATTGAGGACGGAACAAGCGCCTGTTCCATTTGCGAAGTGAGAATGTTTATCATTGGGGCAAATGAGATGGATCGAATTGAGGGACTGAGAACGACAAAGACAAGGGAGAGCCAGATGAAGCGAAGATGATGGACCAAGAGTGACAGAGCAAAGTGGGAACCAGAGTGAGTGAGGTTGTACGGTGAGTGGGCTGACAATGGTAGAGACACAATGAACTAACTGTAATTTGATGATGAATATTGATAAACTCTGCCTCGTTGTTCTTAAATGTTTGAATATACTTTTCACGGTTCATTCGCCTTGTTTGAATAAGAGCACTTTTAAGCACATTTCTGAAGTTGTTACATTACACGAGTACTGTATTGAAATCATAAGAGAGAGTGACTGTCATTTTCAGGCACGTTGTTACTTTACTGTACAGTATAACCATTGTTTCAAAGTATGTTCTCAATCACAACTGTTCATAATGTTTGTATTCCTGGACAAAGTATCAATTCTAGAACAAGTAAAATGTTTCGAGATGGCTGAGGTACCCAGTTAACACACCAGGTAGTCACAACGTTGTGGTAAGGTTATGGATTGGCAACGTTGTCACAATGTTATTATAATGTCACCGTGCAAACGTTGTGAAAACGTTGTGCATCGGCCATCACACAACGTTTTGTAACTACGTTTCTGAAACGTCGGTGAAACGTTGTACAGTTTGCTTCTTGCAAACCATATAGGAATTGAACTGTTTCATCAAAATCCACTTGATTTTGTCAGAATACCAAGTCAGTTATGCATTACCTACTTTCCTATATATTCAGCATTTGAGTTTTCATCTCTGAATACTAAAATCTCCTGAACGTATTATTGTATTAAACATATATATATATATATATATATATATATATATATATATATATATATATATATATATATATATATATATATATAATTACGAAGTAATCTGTACCCCTTAATGTCTCATGGAAATAAAGCTTACATGAGTAGAATAAAACTCCACATTTTGTTAGTAGCTGTTTTGTCATATAGTGTTATAAGCAGCATTACAGTCAACCTGATCAAACAATTGCCACGCATTATTTTGCAGCGTGAGAGTGACTGCTGGTTAAGGAGGCCCAAGGTATTTTTCCATATTATAATTTCATGGATACAAAGGGCAAGCAATCGATACATTATCAAGGTAAGCAATATATGTTCGACCAGAATTCTTGCGTTTTGTCGACGTCATCATAGGTTCGGGTTTTGACCCTAAAATATACGAATATATATATAACATGCATCGCCTACTGACCACTGACAGTTATCGACATTTCTTCTGTGTTATTTTTGAAATCATTACAATTAAAAGTGTACTGTACATGTACTAATCTACTGACTTTGATTTATGTGAAACAATTTCGCTCATTTCTGTCCAAGGGAAAGTTGAGTATATTTCTCTTATACAGCGAAGAGAGGGAATAAAAAAAGATGAAGTTTTTTTCAGGTCGACTAACTGTAGGCTTCTAGTTATTGCTCTGGTTTAAAGCGCTCAATGATATTATTAAATTAAATTTTGGGGATGTGACAGAAACATGCTTGTTAATTACGAAGAGGCCTGATTAGCTCTGACTGAACTAGCCTGATCAAATTGTTGGTGATGTCTGAAGTAATATTGTAGCAAGGTGCTTACAATGTGTTGTTTTAATATTTACAATTTAGAATCAATTGATCATTTTCCAGTAAATATGCCCGACTTCCTTCTAATGAAAATGAGTAAAGTAAAACGAGTCTCGCGTCGAGCGCTATATCGGGGTGTTTGCGGGAGACTAATTGGTCCTCGGTGGTGGCGATAAGCTGGTCGATACTCAAAAGCTATTACAATATATTGTCAGTGAGTTGGTTAACGTTTGCTGCGTATTAAGGTGGGATAAGTGTAGGCAATGTGCACCAATAAAGAAATATAATGAAATTGATAGCAACCCTATTTGATCTCCATATGTTGGCATGTAGGCTATTTGCTATATCACCGAATCATATTTAACAATATTGAACCATATCATGTTCAATAAATGTAGTAACAAGTAAATTTCAAATGCTACAATGCTCCCTACGAATTCGTGCTGAAGCTAAAACCAGCGCAGCGATGAAGATGTGTGTCGTCATTAGTTACAAGGCCTGTTTAATATATCTGTTCCCGTGTTTATTCTGGGTTAGAATAGGTCCCAAATAATCAACGTGTTTACTATCAGCTGACAGCCGACAAAATGAAGGTTGATTAAGTTTCATTGTATACCGACCGAGCTTGTGGGACGTGGCTCATAATATCAATCACCGGTATGTCTGGCTAAGAATCCATTCTTTTCAAACCGGAGTATGATATGGAAACAAAATTACCTTCGATTTTTTGTTTTTTTATTATGGTACTCACTTAATAATTTTGGTACTAATATCTGTGGCATGAGATATTTCCGATACGACATTATGCATGTGGACATTAAATATACAGTTTATCCTAAATTTTAGACAATTATATAATATGTTATCTTTTCTGATAGACTTTAAATATATGCTTATTGAAAATAGTTCTGGTTTTGACTTTGTTTTAATGCCGAACATTACTGTTTTCACTGCAACAAGGGTGAAAGTGAGCCACGAGCATTCCAGGAGATAAAAAAAAATGTTTGATCATTGAGGAATACACCAAATAACACCTGGCTTGTGAATTATGTTAACGGAAGTACAGTTGCTAAATTCCATTGTCTATAAAGATGCTGGTGGTTTTGTGGCTTTAAATAATGCTAAGAATGTATTTGTATAAATGCTATACAATTGTACTATGCTCGTACTATGTTCTGTATTAAACGTGAGTCTTGATGTCTCTGAACCCGTGAAGATCCGGAGTAAAATAGGTCTTCAGCAACCCATGCTTGCCGTAAAAGGCGACTATGCTTGTCCTAAAAGGCGACTTGTCGGGTGGTAAGGCTCGCTGGCTTGGTTGATGCATGTCATCGGTCCCAGTTGGATCGACGCGCATGATGTCAATCAGTGGATTGTCTGGTCCAGACTCGATTATTTACAGACCGCCGTCATATAGCTGGAATACTGCTGAGTGCGGCGTAAAACAACAAACCAACCAACTTGATGTCTCTGAATAACGGTCACACTATGTTTCAATCAAACACGTGCATATTATACATTTTTAACCTCCAAATGAATGGTTCTCGTCACATATATGTTTCAAATAACTCCTCGAGATTTATAAAGCTTTTTTTGTATTATAGGGAAGGGAAAACTGACCACACCAGAGAAATGTGATTCTAGTAATCAATAATTTCGAAAGGTGTATACATTTTTCAATTATCTAAAGATATTAGTATGTCAACACAACTGTGTCTTGAAGTTCTTTGTTGAATGGTGTCGTCGCATGGCTGAAAGTTGAAGATATACAATACAGTGTTGTTTAGGAAGCGACCATTTCTCAAGATAAGCACCATGCAACTATGTCATTTTTGTGGCAGCCATTTTTTTTCTAAGAATATCAAATGGCCAACCCCTTACCATGTGTGCCATTCTTATTCTGTTTCCTGCAGTACAAGACTAAATAGTAATTGGCTAAAGGGAATGTTTGTTATAGTCTTATCTATCTAGTTAACAGCTCAGTGGTGTTTTTACGTTTTGATCATTGTCAGCAAAACACGACCTAACTGTTAACTGGGATATTCGACTGGAAATTCGTCTAGGGTGCCGATGTTCTTTGTGCAGAGTTGGGTCCCTAGGCACGATAGAAACCTTTGATTGTGGGTTCGAAGCCCTAATTCTAGGTTTGTCAGCGCAATACCCAATTTTTCATATCATTGTTGACCTTACATGTATCACAAATAGTTAATTGGTAAAGGTTACATATATCAAAGTAAGTAATCGGATCCTCCCACGAAAGAAATATATGCCAGGAGAACAATGTCAGCTGCAATGTATTTCGCCATATTGAATACAAAGCAACATAGATTCACTGGCCGATTGTTTAGTAAATATGTCAGACCTTTCCTAAATAGGGCGTGGTCCTCAGTGCGTGCATAGCTGTGGGATCCGTGAAGATCCCGGGGTGGAATAGGTCTTCAGCAACCCATGCTTGCTGTAACAGACGACTAGCGGGATCTGGTGGTCAGGATCGCTGACTTGGTTGATGCATGTCATCGTGCCGCAATTGCGTAGATCGATGCACATGATGTCTATCACTGGATTGTCTGGTCCAGACTCGATTATTTACAGACCACCGCCATATAAGTGGAATATTATTGAGTACGGCGGCAACAACAAACAAGCAAAACAATGCATAACTGTGGTCAAGCAACTCATGGAGTCGGTAACGATGCGTTGTTTTTCGAGAACTTCCGGGTAACAGTAATACGTAATACATCCGACACCACGATGAGAAGTATGTATGTATCGAGCTGTCAGTGTGCTGTGTAATTCCTATTCTTCGAATGACATTGTTATATTCTGGTTACAACTGCTGCCCAATAAACTGTGTTTGTGTTTATATTCAAGTTGGTGTTTCCGCTATCAAAAGTGTGCAGTCTTATTGTTGATAGTCATTTTGGAGACATAAATGCGACGTTTCATCAATACGAACGAAGACTACTCGCATTTCTCACTTTTAATTCACGCTCGCGTTAATTTCAAGATGTACGGTACTCGTTGTTATGGATCCTGCATGCGGTCATGCTGCTGTCCACAAATAACCTCCTGGCAGGGACCTGCACAGTCACACTGGTTAATGTAGTCTGCCAGAACATAATGGGACGTTGTTGCGTCACTCTCAAATCAAGAGTTAATATTCAAACCTCCATATTAGGAGATCCCAAAACTCATTGGTTAACTCAGTGTTAATACTGACACTACAGATGTGTGATTAAGTATATCTGGTGTAAATACTGACACCACTCTTGTGTGATTAACAATATAAAGTGGGAATACTGACACCACTCTTGTGTGATTAACCTTCTCTGGTATGAATACGTACAACATGTATGTGTGATTTACGATAAAAAGTGGGAATACTGACACCATTGATGTGTGATTAAACATATATGGGTAAGAATATGTCCCCAGCAACAACGCGGGCGTCGGAAGGATGAGGTGACTTGGTTGATAGCTTGTCGTCGTACCCCAAAAATCGTGAATCGTTGCTAATAATATCACTCATTGGATTGTTTGGTCCAGACTCGATTACTTAGACCACGAAAGATAAATGAAAGCATAAAACTAAGTTTGTTCTTATATTTAAACAAAATAACATATTTAAACAAAATAACATACCATTGACAAGGAGCGCAGCCAGACACACCAAACGAAAACACATCCCCTTCGCCATGTTGGCTGTGATATGACCGTGGCCAGGTTTAGATCAGGTTTTCATATGGTGAATCAGCGCATGACTTCACTGTGTGTGGTGAGTAGCAATCAGTAGTACATGTAGACCACGTCTTAACCCCCTTGATCCTAGTAGTGCATGTAGAACACGTCTTAACCCCCTTGATGCCAGTAGTGCATGTAGAACACGTCTTAACCCCCTTGATGCTAGTAGTACATGTAGACTACGTCTTAACCCCCTTGATGCTAGAAGTGCATATAGAACATGTCTTAACCCCCTTGATGCTAGTAGTACATGTAGAACACGTCTTAACCCCCTTGATGCTAGTAGTACATGTAGAACACGTCTTAACCTTCATTGATGCTAGTAGTTCATGTAGAACACGTCTTAACACCCCTGATGTCATTTGTTCATGTAGAACACGTCTTAACCCCTTTGATGCTAGTAGTACATGTGGAACACGTCTTAACCCCCTTGATGCCAGTAGTACATGTAGAACACGTCTTAACCCCCATTGATGCTAGTAGTACATGAAGAACACGTCTTAACCCCCTTGATGCTAGTAGTACATGTAGAACATGTCTTATCCCCCTTGATGCTAGTAGTACATGTAGAACACGTCTTACCACCCTTGATGCAAGTAGTACATGTAGATCACATCTTAACCATCTTGATGCAAGAAGTACATGTAGAACACGTCTTAACCCCCTTGATGCCAGTAGTACATGAAGAACACGTCTTAACCCCCTTGATGCTAGTAGTACATGTACAACACGTCTTACCACCCTTGATGCAAGTAGTACATGTAGATCACATCGTAACCATCTTGATGCAAGAAGTACATGTAGAACACGTCTTAACCCCCTTGATGCTAGTAGTACATGTAGAACACGTCTTAACCTTCATTGATGCTAGTAGTTCATGTAGAACACGTCTTAACACCCCTGATGTCATTTGTTCATGTAGAACACGTCTTAACCCCTTTGATGCTAGTAGTACATGTGGAACACGTCTTAACCCCCTTGATGCCAGTAGTACATGTAGAACACGTCTTAACCCCCATTGATGCTAGTAGTACATGAAGAACACGTCTTAACCCCCTTGATGCTAGTAGTACATGTAGAACACGTCTTACCACCCTTGATGCAAGTAGTACATGTAGATCACATCTTAACCATCTTGATGCAAGAAGTACATGTAGAACACGTCTTAACCCCCTTGATGCCAGTAGTACATGAAGAACACGTCTTAACCCCCTTGATGCTAGTAGTACATGTACAACACGTCTTACCACCCTTGATGCAAGTAGTACATGTAGATCACATCTTAACCCCCTTGATGCCAGCAGTACATGTAGAACACGACTTATCCCCCTTGATGCTAGTAGTACATGTATAACACGTCTTAACCCCCTCGATGCTAGTAGTACATGTAGAACACGTCTTAACACCCCTGATGCTAGTGGAAATGTAGAACACGTGTTAAACCCCTTGATGCTAGTAGTAGATGTAGAACACGTCTTAACTCCCTTGATGCTAGTAGTATATGTAGAACACCACTTACCACCCTTGATGCTAATAGTACATGTAGAACACGTCTTAATCCCCTTCATGCTAGTAGTACATGTAGAACACGTCTTACCACCCTTAATGCTAGTAGTACATTTAGAACATATTATCCCCCTTGATGCTAGTAGTACATGTAGAACATGTCCTAACCCCCTTGATGCTCGTAGTACATATAGAACACATCTTAACCCCCTTGATGCTAGTAGTACATGAAGAACACGTCTTAACCCCCTTGATGCTAGTAGTACATGTAGAACACGTCTTACCACCCATGATGCTAGTAGCACATGAAGAACACGTATTAACCCCCTTGATGCTAGTAGTACATGTAGAACACATCTTAACCCCCTTGATGCTAGTAGTACATGTAGAACATATCTTAACCCCCTTGATACTAGTAGTACATGTAGAACATGTCTTAACCCCCTTGATGCTAGTAGTACATGTAGAACACGTCTTACCACCCTTGATGCTAGTAGTACATGAAGAACACGTATTAACCCCCTTGATGCTAGTAGTACATGTAGAACACATCTTAACCCCCTTGATGCAAGTAGTACATGTAGAACATGTCTTAACCCCCTTGATACTAGTAGTACATGTAGAACATGTCTTAACCCCCTTGATACTAGTAGTACATGTAGAACACGTCTTACCACCCTTGATGCTAGTAGTACATGAAGAACACGTATTAACCCCCTTGATGCTAGTAGTACATGTAGAACACATCTTAACCCCATTGATGCAAGTAGTACATGTAGAACATGTCTTAACCCCCTTGATGCAAGTAGTACATATAGAACATGTCTCAACCCCCTTGATGCAAGTAGTACATGTAGAACATGTCTTAACCCCCTTGATGCTAGTAGTACATGTAGAACACATCTTAACACCCTTGATGCTAGTAGTACATGTAGAACATGTCTTAACCCCCTTGATACTAGTAGTACATGTAGAACACGTCTTAGCCCCCTTGATGCTAGTACTACATGTAGAACACATCTTAACCCCCTTGATGCAAGTAGTACATGTAGAACATGTCTTAACCCCATTGATGCTAGTAGTTCATGTAGAACACGTCTTAACACCCCTGATGTCATTTGTTCATGTAGAACACGTCTTAACCCCTTTGATGCTAGTAGTACATGTGGAACACGTCTTAACCCCCTTGATGCCAGTAGTACATGTAGAACACGTCTTAACCCCCATTGATGCTAGTAGTACATGTAGAACACGTCTTACCACCCTTAATGCTAGTAGTGCATTTAGAACACGTCTTACCACCCTTGATGCTAGTAGTACATGTAGAACATGTCTTAACCCCCTTGATGCTAGTAGTACATATCGAACACATCTTAACCCCCTTGATGCTAATAGTACATGAAGAACACGTCTCAGCCCCCTTGATGCTAGTAGTACATGTAGAACACGTCTTAACCCCCTTGCTGCTAGTAGTACATGTAGAAAACGTCTTACAACCTTGATGCTAGTAGTACATGAAGAGCACGTATTAACCCCCTTGATGCTAGTAGTATATGTAAAACACGTCTTAACCCCCTTGATGCCAGTAGTATATGTAGAACACGTCTTAACTCCCTTGAGGCTAGTAGTACATATAGAACACGTCTTATCCCCCCTGATGCTAGTAGTACATGTAGAACATCTCTTAACCCCCTTGATGCTAGTAGTACATGTAGAACATGTCTTAACCCCCTTGATGCTAGTACTACATGTAGAACACGTCTTACCACCCTTAATGCTAGTAGTACATTTAGAACATATTATCCCCCTTGATGCTAGTAGTACATGTAGAACATGTCCTAACCCCCTTGATGCTCGTAGTACATATAGAACACATCTTAACCCCCTTGATGCTAGTAGTACATGAAGAACACGTCTTAACCCCCTTGATGCTAGTAGTACATGTAGAACACGTCTTACCACCCTTGATGCTAGTAGTACATATAGAACACGTCTTATCCCCCCTGATGCTAGTAGTACATGAAGAACACGTATTCACCCCCTTGATGCTAGTAGTATATTTAGAACACGTCTTGACCCCCTTGATGCTAGTAGTACATGTTGAACACGTCTTATCACCCTTGATGCCAGTAGTACAAGTAGAACACGTCTTAACCCCCTTGATGCTAGTAGTACATGTAGAACACGTCTTATCACCCTTGATGGTAGTAGTACATGTAGAACACGTCTTTACCCCCTTGATGCTAATAGTACATGTAGAACATGTCTTACCACCCTTAATGCTAGTAGTACATTTAGAACATATTATCCCCCTTGATGCTAGTAGTACATGTAGAACATGTCCTAACCCCCTTGATGCTCGTAGTACATATAGAACACATCTTAACCCCCTTGATGCTAGTAGTACATGAAGAACACGTCTTAACCCCCTTGATGCTAGTAGTACATGTAGAACACGTCTTACCACCCTTGATGCTAGTAGTACATGAAGAACACGTCTTAACCCCCTTGATGCTAGTAGTACATGTAGAACATGTCTTAACCCCTTGATGCTAGTAGTACATGTAGAACACGTCTTACCACCCTTGATGCTAGTAGTACATATAGAACACGTCTTATCCCCCCTGATGCTAGTAGTACATGTAGAACATGTCTTAACCCCCTTGATGCTAGTAGTACATGTAGAACATGTCTTAACCCCCTTGATGCTAGTAGTACATGTAGAACACGTCTTACCACCCTTAATGCTAGTAGTACATTTAGAACATATTATCCCCCTTGATGCTAGTAGTACATGTAGAACATGTCCTAACCCCCTTGATGCTCGTAGTACATATAGAACACATCTTAACCCCCTTGATGCTAGTACTACATGAAGAACACGTCTTAACCCCCTTGATGCTAGTAGTACATGTAGAACACGTCTTACCACCCTTGATGCTAGTAGTACATATAGAACACGTCTTATCCCCCTTGATGCTAGTAGTACATGTAGAACATGTCTTAACCCCCTTGATACTAGTAGTACATGTAAAACACGTCTTACCGCCCTTGATGCTAGTAGTACATGAGGAACACGTAATAACCCCCTTGATGCTAGTAGTACATGTAGAACACGTCTTAACCCATTGATGCTAGTAGTACATGAAGAACACGTATTAACCCCCTTGATGCTAGTAGTATATTTAGAACACGTCTTGACCCCCTTGATGCTAGTAGTACATGTAGAACACGTCTTATCACACTTGATGCCAGTAGTACAAGTAGAACACGTCTTAACCCCCTTGATGCTAGTAGTACATGTAGAACACGTCTTATCACCCTTGATGCTAGAAGTACATGTAGAACACGTCTTTACCCCCTTGATGCTAATAGTACATGTAGAACACGTCTTAACACCCTTGATGCTAGTAGTACATGAAGAACACGTCTTAACCCCCTTGATGGTAGTAGTACATGTAGAACACATCTAATCCCCTTGATGCTAGTAGTACATGTAGAACACGTCTTTACCCCCTTGATGCTAATAGTACATGTAGAACACATCTTAACACCCTTGATGCTAGTAGTACATGAAGAACACGTCTTAACCCCCTTGA